CGTATCTGCCACTCCCCCGCCGCCACCGATGGAGGAAACAGAAGTGTGAGCGCTAACTAAACTAGCATCAGCAGCCAAGTACTGCCTGTGTGTTCTGGACACTTCCACCCCGTCAGAGCGCTGCCCCGGGGTGGAAGTGTCCCCCGACCGCGTAGAATATTCATCATTAACTGGGCCTGAACATCCAGAGAGCAGAAAGTTCTACTGGGACCAGCCCTACTACTTATTATAACAACTATGAACAATAATGAACAACTAATGAGCCTTCCAGCATCAAGCCCTCCTCGTATCTGGACCTCCGTCTGGACAATCCGACAGCCTTGATATCCGACATAGAAGAAGGTTTTACATGTAGTGTCGGGTCATCGAGTCACGGCTGTACCATAAAAAATGTGCAATGTTGCAGTCAAACCTTGTAAAAGAACAAATGACTGCTGATAAACATGTTGGTTGTTGCGATGAGGACGTGGAGGAGCATCCAGGCTGTTTCTGCTCCGAGCTGAGCTTCTGCTGCTGCTTCTGTTCTGCGTTACGTAACAATAAAACACGAGCTGCAGCTCAGAGGAGCAACATTAAACCACGAATCCTCCTGTTTAGGAAGTAAAACCCTGAAACCTGCTGCGCCGTTAACTCACATTTCAAAAAAAGCATTTGTTTGCACGTAAACGGTGAAAAAACCGCCGGAAACTGTAAAACGATGCAGGTTTGGTCGTATTTAAATCTGCAAACAGACGTCATTATTGTCCAGATAGGTGCTGTTATGTGAAAGAAAATTCAGTAATTAAAAAAAAAAACTTTTAATGTTAAACTACAAGTAAAATCTAATGAAATCACAGAACGTTAATTTGTTCTTTTATCTTGAATTTTGCTGTATTTTTATCATCAAAAACATTTTATATTAAGAAAATGTTATTTTCCTGCTTTGTTAAATAATAAATAATATCTACTAGAAATCATTATTTGACATGTTAACAGGCTGCATGACTTTAGACTCACGTTCTCTTTTGTTTTCTACGACAGTCACCAGTAAACAGGAAATGCTGTTTTCTATTCAATCTACATGAAAAAGCAAAATCTATAAATACTGCAGTGAAACACAGAAAATCCTGTAATTAGAAACGTCTTTTCTTCTCATATCTGCTGAAGAGCTGCTGCTGCTGCTTCCAGGACACCAGATGAAATAAACCTTGAAGCTCTGCAGGTGCGTCTAAATGCGGATATCGATCGCTTTACGCAACGCAGCCGAAGCTGAGAGGCAGCGGAGTGGGAGAGGGAGAGTTCGAGACCTTCGGCTGTGATTCACAAACTATTTCAGGGAGTTAACGGAGCCTCCCAGTCCTCCCAGTCCTCCCACTGATGGACGGAGGAAGCTGCAGAGCGACGACGGCCCACACAGCTCCGTGAGTGTGTGTGGTCGTAAATCTGCTAACATCCCGACTCGTTTCCCTTTTCGTGCACAAACAGCCGAGAAAGGAAAAATTTGTCTAAACAAATGTAAAAATGTGGCAGCGAGGTGCCAGAAAGCAAATCTGCACCAAATATGACCTGAAGTCACCAGAAAAAGACCTGAAGTCACTAGAAAAAGACCTGAAATCACCAGAAAAAGANCGCCTTATTGGCCGGCGCCGGCTGCTCCACCCTCTGGGTCTTGAGCTCTGCGATCTCGGCCTCCAGCAGGTGGATCACCTCCTCGTAGTCCATCTCCATCCCCCGGGCCTGTTTCTGGGCCTCCTCGGCCACCTGGATCCGAGTCCGGAGGGCCCGGCTCTCCTCGGCTCCCACCTTCGCCTCCTGGACGGATGAAACGTGAGGATTAGGTCATCCAGGAACCAGAACACACCTGAACATCTCTAAACATCTACGGTGTCTGGATTCTCTCCATCGTTTCTGCAGGTTTCTGTCTGAAAACATGAAGCTCTCTGGACCTGGAACCCACCGGCGGCGGTGAAAGACGTGTTTCCTTCAAAATAATAAGAAAGACCAACACTGTTTGTCAGCTGTACAAACAGAGAGAACGCTCAGATCCTTCAACACATCACCCACGACATCGAGAAAAATAACCAAAATAAATCCCCCAAAAAGTTTATTCAAAAATTCTCCTAAAATAAAGATTCTGTAACAAAAAAACAACCATGAAGCCCCGACCGGCTCAGCCGATAGCTACATGACTAAAAAGTTTAGTTCTCAGGTGAACTGCAGGCAGTGTTCAGGTAGAGCAGAGAGGAGGCGACAGAAGTGACGACAAGACGAAGAAACTCCAAAACAAGATGCAAAAAACGACAAAAAACAAGACAGAAAAACAACAACAAGGGCAAAACATGACTAAGAACAGAGAAACGATGAACACCAGCTCAGAAACGCTCCACGGTCTCCTCTACGGACTGAAACCAACTGACGGCATTAACTGGGCCGTGGATCTGTCTATTTGCTGGAGACACACCTTCCTTGTTTCCCCTTAAGGCCTTTGAATCCGTCACTGTCTATTTCCTGGGATCACACCCTCCTATTTATTGAAAACGATTTGCTGCGTCTAAACTAGTCAACGGTACTGTGTATTTGCTGGAAACTTCCCATTGTCAGATACCGCCCTGATGACCAACGGCTCCGTGTATGTACTGGAAACACCAACAGATCTGACAAACTATCATCTGGCTGAGGGTATTTGCTGGAAACCCTTCACCTGGCGGCTGAGTGTATTTGCTGGAAACCCTTCACCTGGCGGCTGAGTGTATTTGCTGCTGCGTGTCTCTCTGCTTCCACGTCGTTCTGTTCAGTCGGTGTTTGGTTCTTGGAGGGAAACCTCACAGTAGAAGTTACGTAAGAGCTGAAACGAACACCGGCAGCAGTCAGAGGCTGCCGACTGCTTTCACTGAGCAGAGCCTCCGTCTGGTCCTCACAGAGGCAGAACAACGCGCTGAGTCCTGCTGAGGAGCCGACAGATGGCCCGGTGGTTTCAGGTCAGCGTATGGCGGCTCGGCGGGTCGCCTTCGGTCCATACGACGACGACGCAGGAGAGATTCAGAGCTGCCAGATTCACGGCTGCCTTCTTCCTCTTTGCCTGCGTTCAGCAGAAGCAACGATGATGAAGTTTAACCTCCATCAGCTGCACAGACCTCCAGCTCTGCCTGTCTGGGAGGTCACTGGAGGTCGTCTGTAACGGCGCTTTAAACAATTATTCAGCTTTTTTAATCCTTAATTTGCTTTTTTTGTTGTTAAAATCACAGCAAATAAGATTTTTCACATATTTTCACTTATTGTACATTTTATATTTTCTTATTGTTTATTTTTGTTTGTTTATCACATTTTTGGTAAATTTATCTTTGTGCTGTGACAACATGTAATAAAGTTTTTCTGTTCT